GTGAAAGTTACTGATATTGAGTTGGAAACGTTATATGACAGTGATATGTTGCTAATCTGTGAGAAAGCAGTTAGGGGAAGTTTGAATGGAATTGGTAATAAAGATACTTGAAAGGAAATTACCATTACCTACCAGATTACGATGAAAACCAGGCATCAACATGCGGTTTGTTTTTGGATGTCATGATTGAGTTTGAAGCTAATATGATCAAGAATATGCCAGAGGGAGGATTTAATTTGGTTGAAAATCATTGGAAGAAATACTTCGTTGCACTGATGAATCCGATACCAGTTTGTTTTGTTATCGTGAATCTTGAGTACCTGCAAGAATATCCCAAATGGAAGAATTTCACATTTCACCTGGAAGAATTTTTATGTCTAACAGGATTTAAAAATCAAGAAAGTTACTGGCTTTTTACAGTTTATGGGACGTTATATCGAGTTAACTAAAAAGGTGCGAAAAAATGAGTAATTATTAAATTTTAAAAGAAACTTTTTAAAGCTTCCTAGCAGCTCATGTTTCGGGAAAACCATGGAGAAATTGAGGCAACGCCGAAGCATGATGATGATAACAAACCAAAATGAGGCTACTTTTTTGTAACAACATCAATTGTAATCGGTTTAAGGTGTTCTCAAAAAATTTATTTGTTATAACAATGACGAGCAAAATATGATGTGGAATAAACCAACTTATCTTGATGCAACCATTTTAGAATTATCGAAACTACAGTTATATACATTCCATTACGAAGAAAAGGTCCCGCTCTGTGGTCAACCGTCTCGAGTGCTCAATAAAGATTAAAAAACCATAAAGATTAAAAAACCAAAAAACTCGGACGAATTGAATGGAGCTAGGATTTGCAAAGAAATCTTTCTGACGCCAAAAGTTAATTTAAGTATTTTAATTTACCTTTTCAAGGATTTTCAAACACAAATCAAATCCAGTGCTAAAGGAATTGCTCAAGAAATGAAAAAGGACTTTACATCATGAAAAATATAAATCCGTTTTGTTGAGCAATGCAGAACTAAAAGTTTCTGTGATAACAATTAGCAGAGCTCATCACAAAAGTTATGTTCAAAAGGTGAATAATTTAACTCTATCAGCATACGAAAACAAATTTTTCTACAATGATGTTGGAGTGAGATCTTTTGGACATTATCAGATAGCTTTTAACTAGCTTTTCAGCGTAGTTTTCCGGAAACTTTGAGGCCAATTGCATCCGTGGATGAAAAAAAAATCAAGAAAAAAGCATGGAGGAACTAGAGTTTTTGCCACAGGAGACGACAGACTGGATAGCGACGAGTAGGCTATTGTTTGAAATGCTAAAGTCAGTAAAAATCCATTTTGGAAGCATGCCTTCATCTTTTTTGAATCGCAAGAAGATTTACTATTTTTGGCAAAATAATCAGGAATGAGGGAATGTTGACGTTAACTTCAAAAAACCAACTAGACAAAACATTTTAAAAACCTTCAAATGGTGGTCGGAACCAAAAACGGGAAACTTTTGTTGATTGGAAAAAAAAATCAAATAAAGCAAGCTCGCGTTATAACTGCGAAGATTGACATGGAACATCTCTCTTTGTCGCAAATATTTCAGAGAAATTTGTGGCCTTACCTTAAACAAAATTTGTACTTAAAAAAGTTTTATTTAAAATTACAAGCTTTACAAGTTTAGTATTTAATAAATTAAATTGGCTCAACTTCGACTAACTTTGTTATTGATCAATTTAATATTTTTCAGTTTAATTTTTTTTTGAAAAGAGTTGAAAGTTCGAATAAACAAAATAACACCTTTGGAACGCCTGTAAAACGTCAAAAACATATCAGATAAAACTAGAGGTTTTTCTGAAAATTTTTTCAAAAAAAAGAACGTTTTTAATATCTAATATCTTTAAAATAATTATTTCGAAAAATCAGGGCTATGAACGAACAGAAGAAATAGCAATGAAGATTAAATAAGAGCAGTTTTTAAACTTAAGCTGAACCTTGATGTGTAAGAACGTTCCTAGCTGCATCCAACTTTCAAACAATTGAAAGCCATTATTTTGCTGCATTACAACGAATTTTCAACTTTGCATATTCGGCAATGTTTATACGGGTGCTCGTAAAACCTCAGGCTCAAACATGTTCCTCTTTGTGCCAAGGCGTTAGAATAGGATCAGGAACACTTTTTGCATAGTTTCGATTTTTTTGAAAAAGGTAAAAACAAGAGACTTTTATGAACGGCCAGGACGATTAACTTTCTAGGTACTGGCCACGACATTGAAGTTATGAGAAAATAGCGCCACGAAGCATTTCAGAAAATTTGAAAGTTTACAAACGTTGCAAGTTTATGCCACGATATTGGAAATTTCCCTTGATTAAATGCTCTAATGAAAGCAAGCTGAAAAAACGCATAGAGCTCTTTACATATATTTAGTTATGTTCAACAAATTAGTAACCAAGTCTTCAAAAGAGAGGCAACTTTGTCGAAATTTAGTCGAAACAATAAGTCAAAACCTCGATCCGGATAACCGGATTTTCGCGCCTAATTTTTCTGACCACCAAATTTCATGACGGCAATGAACTGAACGCACAACAGGGACCCAACGCAAAACAGGCTACCAGATTCAAATGTACTATTTATTTATGTACCTGGTTTGAAAAACTTATGTTTTTGAAACTGTCTTTTTGTTCCGACCATTGAAAATGGGGAGGAACTTTGGATTCGGGTGTGTTTTAGTATCTTTTCCACGCAAAATCAGCTACCACAAATAATCATCGGACAGAGTTGAGTGAAATATCATAGTAAGCCCCTTTCAATCGTGATTCGAACGACATCAGAAATTTCAAAAAAAAATAGTCAGATAGTAAGTAATTGCAATAACTTATTTAAGCTTAATTTAAGCCGTAAAAACATAGTTTTACTCAACTAAAGGTAGTTTTTGGAATTTTTCATCGCAATTTTGGGAATCAAAAATTTAAAAATTCAAAACAAAGTTCTCAAAAAAAAAATTTATTTAATTTTTGAAATTTTTTTTTCAATTTTTTTTTCGTTTTTCTAGTCATTTTTCTTCAAAAACTGTTTTCTAATTGACTTATTTTGCTATGAATCTCAAATATGCGTAAGTTTGATTTTTAGTTTTTTTTTATCACAACATGCAGAAAGAAACGACACCAATTTGAGATAACAGTTTTGTATTTTTATAAGACTGTGGTCGGAACATTCTCTGCTACTTGCACAGTAATCGGCTATCCTTGCTCTGGTTTTATATTCTTCTCTAAAAAGGATTTGTTTCTTGCGTCTTTCAGCGACAATCACTGCATAAACAATGAATATTTTCAAGTTTTGACTTTTTGGTCATTAGGACACATGCTACACTGCTTATAGGAAATGGTGTTTGATTTTCTTAAAATCTTCAATTTGCAATTATTTTCAGCCTCTTAAATGATGTGAAGTTTCCTTCTGATAAACAACAACTGGAGAGTTGTTTGCACAATAACATTCATGCATCATACTTTTGAAAAAAAATGTTTGCCAGAATTTTTCTATCTGATATTATACTAGATTCCCGAAGGGAAGAGAAAACACGTATTTGTCCTAGTGTTAGCTTTGATAGATGCCAATATAGAACAAAATTAATGAGCAAATTCAGTTACTTTTCTAATGCATATTAATTTTGCCACCAGCGACTCAATTGTTTGAAAAAATTGTTCAGTTAAATAAATAAAAAAATATATCAGAAACTAAAATAACAATTCAGTTTTCTAAATATTGTCATACAAAGAATTTTTCCCAATATTCTTAAGAAATTCGTAACTAAGCCAAAGACATACGGACTGCTTTTCCGTGCAGTTTTTATTAACCCTGTTAAAATCAATCATGCGTACCTCCAAATTAGCAGTTTCTGTTCTATCTCTGAATGCATTTCTCACTTTTGTACTACTATGTCATCAATTTGCAACGCAAAATTCACAAGCGGACAGAAAGAACTCGAGAGATCACGTAATCAGCTGGCCTCAGTTTCAGAACTTCATCGTGCCCGATGGGTCCAAAACTTGTCATGTAAACGACACCAGTTATCACCAGTTGATAGGGATGGAATATTTTCCCAACTTGTTGGAGACGTTCAATGTACCTCGTCTTGAGAGTCCACTTCTTCCAAGGTAACTTCAAGTATGAACAGAAATTTATTCGTCCGCGGCTATTGGTAGCATTTTAAGAAGCGGCAGAGCTTAGTGCCATAATATTTAAGAATAGAAACAAATTGATTTAGCAACGCAAAGCAAGCAAACGACCATATTTTAGAGGGTCTGGGATTCAATATGGAATGTTTTACTAAGCAAAAAATCTTGATAAAAATACCTTGCGACGATTTCTAGCTGTTCTAATTGCGATGGGGTGTCGCTTGTAAAAAAAATTTACCGTACAATTTACGATATGGGGTTTGTACAAGAACAGTCCCAGTATCTGAAACTATTAACTGAAAAAAAAACTTTTTGAAGTCCAGCATATGAATAAATGCCGTATCCATGTTAAAAGTTCTATGTAAACATACCTTCAAAAATTATTTCATAGGCCTCAATGGCTGTCGGATGATTCAGGGCTTTATCCTTATTGAAGCAGTCTTATAATAAAGCTTCATTGTGGCCATAAATCATTGTGTCTTTGTGTCGATGCTTCATTGTGTCTTTTTTCTGTGTTTTGGTGAAAACTCGACCTTTGACCACAATAAGACAGGAGAATTCTAATAAAATTTTCTCACAACTAGAAAATTTACATACTAGTTTAAAACTTTTCCCCAAAAATAAACTCCACTATTTTAGTTTAAAAAATTTGGTCGAAACTTAAATTTATCTGTTCAATGTTGAATTGACTACAGACGTATTAAGGTATCTCGAAAATCAAAAAATGAACACTCGTTTTTGAGCTATCGGCCGGCAACACAGGATCGACGGGACATGATTCTCATTCAGATAATTATAAGCGCTGATTTAATAAGGCGAGTAGCAGACAGAGCTGCTCTCTTCAAAATTCCAAATGATGAGTCCAACATGTAGAAAAATCCTAAAACAAGATTTTTTTTCCTGGCTAGTTTGACAGTTTTTGCGGCAATAAACGTCGTTAAAAATATCTTTGCTAGATGAGCACGAAAAAATTTAAAAGCACTTTTATAAGTTTAAGAGTAACCTTAAGATGTTCAGCTTCTGTGTAATTGCTTGTTTTAAGAGCGATGTCAAAAAAAGACTATGACCTGTACATGCGGCTGCTGAATCTGACAGTGACAGTGTTTGAGGCCAACAACATCTCCTACACCATCAGTGCTGGCGGAGTCATAGGTACGGTAGGTACACTAATTTTCTCTCCCTCTCAATTCTTGCTCTCTCTTTCTCTCTCTCTCTCTCTCCCTCTCTCTCTTCTCCTCTCCTCTCTCTCCCTCTCTCTCTCCCTCTCTGTCTCTAGTTTTTAATACTAACTCAAAGCTTTTAAAACACACACGTTAATTCTCAATTTGAGTGCAAAGAACGTACCATAACCATAAAATTCCGAGATAGGTGACCTTATTTGCGACATAAATTTGAATAGTTAACTAAGCATTCTATAACTTTGGCTAAGTCGGCTTATTTACGAGTCGACTTATAATTGTGAACAAAACATTTTGAGATGATGCCGATTTTTGATTGGCTAATTCTAGCCAATCAGATTGAAGCAAAGTAGTTACAGTTCAAGATGTTGAAATAATGATTTTTGGGCGGAAGAAGTAAAAATATCCAAAGTTTGGAATATGATATGTCATTCGGCCCATTTCGATGATTATATGGGGTATCTGATTTTGCGTAGAAAAAAATTCAAAACACACGCGAAGACAAAGTTCCTCCCCGTTTTCAATGGTCAGAACAACAACGAGTCTAGGTGTAACTTGTTTGTGAAATATAATAATGGCTTACATACTTTGGAACGGACAAAATCACTTTCAACTATCTCAAGATCCAGAAGAAGAAATTTAAAGCAATGGAACCCGGACGCAGAAAAGAAATTGAGAAACTTTTCGCTTTCTAAATGGAGCAAAGTTTATAATCTAATCTGGTACACTTTTTCACTAACAGGTTCATACGTCATGCACGACATGCTCCCGTGGGACGATGACCTTGACATTTTGATCCACAATGACAGCAAGGCCAAGGTCATCCACCTGTTCAAGGACGACCGTCACTATGGCATCCAGGGATACATGAACAAGTACCAGATGGGGAGAGTGATCAAATTGTTCTTCACTGATTCTGAGCCAACTGTCAACCGTGTGTGGAACTGGCCTTTTCTGGACGTCGAAACTTACATAGAAGAAGGTGACCAGATAAGACTCGCTCACAGAAGTGACGTGGAGCGTATCTATTGGCCGAAAAGTGCCTACTTTCCATTCCATCGAAGACCTTTTGGACCCCTGTGGTTGTATTTTCCTCATGACCCTGCCATTTATTTTAAGATCCATTACAACCACCCTTTTTACTGCCAGAGACATTTCAAAGACCACAGACATGAAAATTGGCAGAAGGTGATCAAAGCCGACTGCGAACGACTGACACCTCATTACCCCTTCGTCAGGCGGTCTCCTTTCGCCAACATCACACAAGAAACACTTCTGCTGAATGGAACCGAGCTGTACACTGTGTATATTAGTGAACCATACAGCAAGCCAAAATCTAAATTGGGCTGGTAGAAACAAATCTTCATCTAATCTGTGCCTTTTGTCATATATTTCAATTTAATATTATCATTTCTTTCTCGGTATAAAATTCTTGGACTAATTTTAAAATAATGAAAGAAGCAGAGTCGGATTTAGCCCTCAACCCTCAGGAATTCGACCCACTATCCACCAATAGTGTCCCCTTCTAATGCTTTTATTGGACTTAGATTTTTGATCAGCCGACCCGAAAATTTTTCTAAAGGTGCCTATAGCGCCAACATGTCCTAATTTTGAGTGAGATGCCGCGTCGAATAGAGTCAACTTTTGTCAAAAACTAGAGGTTTTGAAAGAGTCCTGAAAAGCAACTTATTTGTCCCGAAAAAAAACAAGTCGACATAACTTAGCAATGAGTTTGTCCGTACACTCAAATACTAGCGCCTTTTTTTGAAGCAACAATAAAAATTTTTGATTAAAGCAAATAATTTTTCTGGATTGAAAACTTAAAGTTGCAACTGTCATTCAAATCTACTACACGGTAAAAGTTTTTACTGCTTTAGTTTTACTTTAAGCTTTCCATGTAGTGTTATCACGTATATTTTCAGTTTAACAAATGTAAATGGTTATTTAGACAGTAATTATTTAATTTAAAAAATTTTTGGTTTAGTTAAAAAAGAACATTTTTCAACATTTTGCGAGGAGAGCGAAAAACGGGGCTAAGCATTCGAAATATCAGTCCAAATCTCAGTTTCTTCAAAAGTAACTTTACTTCTTTAAAATAGCACTTTACTCCTTTAAAAACCACTCCGTTTAAAATAGCAGCCGAAATCTCAGTTTCTTCAAAAGTAACTTTACTCCTTTTTCACTTGAAATCAAAATTAGAAAAAAAACTCTGAAATGATGAAGAAAACTTGCATCTCAATCTCTCCAGATACAAAAAACAATATTCAAAGTTATTAGGACACTGTTCAAAAAAGTTAAACTGCTTTAAAATGATTTGTCAAATGACTTAAAAATTAAAGAGCGCTTGAAAAAATAAAAAAAAATTGAAAAAATCAAACAAATATCGTAATAAACAAATTAGCTTGCCTTAATCGATTCTGCATTGAATGGTTTCTGAGCCGCATTAGACCGCATGATTTTTATCGCGTTTATTTAGCCTAATTAGCAACTATCGCAGCTCTAGCTCTCATTTATAATTGCTAATTTTTTGGATTTAACTTGGTTAATAGGTTACGTGTGAAACAAGACTACTCGTATCGGGACAAAGCCCTGAATGTTCCGTTCCAACTGCCTTTTAAAGTCTATGGAGCAGTAATAGCATAAAAAATTACATACAATAAAAATAAAAAAAACATTTTTTTTTATTTGAAATTTTTTGTGAAAATCATCCCCCCACACGCCATATAAATAACAAAGTTATAAATTTCGCTCTTAGTAAAACGTCAATAAAAGCAATTCAACCAATTTGAAAAGATTTCTTATGCGGACTAAATCTCCGCTTACGCGTTAATAGCGCGAAATATATCGCGCGTTAATTGTCCCAAATGGGCCAAAAAGGCAATCTTTAAACCACCATAACATTACGAAAAACAATCACAGGTGAAGTATCTTTTCAAGTTTAAGCTCAAGGTAACAATACTTTTCGAATGATGTAATCAAATTCCGTGAAAAATGGCTAGTTAAAAAGTCAAAACTTGTCTGAAGAAAAGCCCACCCCGAGCATAACCATTCCGTTACTTCCGTTACGCAAGTCGGAACAAAATGCCAAATTATAAATTAGATCAAGCTTTTTAGGAGTTTTTTCGAATATATTTTGTTAATATTTCGTATAAAAAATTACTTCGGTGAAAAACTCTTCATTACGAGGCCAAACTGTGCACTGGATAGGCGCACATTTTTGTGTCTGTATGTTCCTGGATTCCAGAGACAAGTATTTAAACATATTCCAAAATAAAAGTGGATTCGACTTAGAAGATTTACGTGTATTTCGCGTACATATACTTGTAACGCAAATTCTAGCGGAACATTTAATTTGTTGCGAATTCCGCTGCAAGCAAATATAGCTAGTTGATCTGGATTCCTCAACTGTAACTGGATTCAGCGAAATGTAAGTGCAATCCGCAAATGTAAGTGGAATCCGCAAATGTAAGTGGAATCCGGAAAATATGTAAGCGGAATCCGCAAACTGTAAAGGAATTGAGAAAACGTTTATTACTCAACTTGCATATGCACTTGCGGAAATTAAAAGCAAGGACTTAATCATTGTCAGAGGAATACACGAACAAATCTTAAGACATTGGTTAACTAAATCGATGGATGTCACACTTTAGTATTTGCAAGCAGTTATTGGGTTCATAGTTTTGGAAACACAACACCGAATAAATTCATTGGGTTATTTCGGTACTTGGGTTAATTCAGTATTGGTTTGACATATCGCCGATTTATGTCAGTACTTGGGATTCAGTAATTGAGATCCAGTATTTGGGATTTTGTATTTGAGATTCAGTAATTGGGAGCGTGAATTCAAATCACTTTGTTCACTGGATGTAAATAGTCTAAATAATCAATTTCAGTGAATTAGTATTAGATAAAAATTTTTGAACTTGAATTACAGCAGAACTAAATTTCAAGAGCAAAAGCACCAAAATATAGTCCTGAAAATGTTGCCTTACTAAATTATGTTCTAGTTTCGCATTTTGACATATCCTTTTTGTATATCATCTCTAATTGTTTCGGCGTATTTCTCACGGAGGGACGGATCAATATTTAACCCCTGTTTTCTAGAGACTTTAATTGAGCTAAGGAGGAATGATTGTTTTTCGGTAAACTACTTTCATTATCACTCCAAAGCATTGGTACAATGAACCTCTTACCATCCTGAAAAGGGTCATTTTCCAAAATCGATGAAGAGCGTTTGTCAGCGGAGGAATGGGCATCTACTTGCTTGAAGGCTCCTTACGACTCCAACTCATACCAATTTTTAATTTGATCAGCTAGAGACGTGTTTTCGACAACACATTTAAAGCAAGACGAGTTCGAATTAAAGAACGGCGGTAACGGACCACTTAGAACCCAACCTATCGGAAGGCGTACGATGCACGGTGATTTAGAGTCCTCACCTAGAAGGTACTAAACAGGTCTTATTGGGTGGTAGAAATCTTGTCCAGTAATTATTTCGAATTCCTCATAATTATAATGTACAGATTTTACCAACTACGGGTGTTTTTTTCCTGTAATTCAGGAATACTTATGCTATCCGATCCATTGCGGATATGATCCCTAACTTAAGCTCAAAAAGATTGAAATTTCACTACTATTTCTTTCGACGGAAATTTGAAAACTTACTTGATAAGTTTTCATCAAGCTCGTGCAGTTGATTCCATTTATGCTGAGGTTAAGGTGAGTACCAACCAAATGAAGACGTTTTAAGAGATCGGTGGATATCCATGAGTGCTTGGAAGCACTATCGCAAAGCACTAGGGCATTAGTATTCTTCACATCCGAAGAAACGGCGCCTGACGCAACTGGCTGGAGGCCTTTAGTTGACTCCTGGCTATGAATATTGCCGATGGCAGAGTTAGTCGATACATATTAAGTTTTTGCGTTACCTGACGCGGAGAAATTTTATAATCTTAGAGAGGAAATATTTTGTCAGCTCCATGTAAGAGCACGTTTTGCGTGCTTTCAGAATCTGGCTTGGGCCAATTTTGATCTTGCTACAATTACGAAAACTGTGATCGCTCTGTAAACACGCAAAGCAAAGTTTTTGTTCGGCTACATACTTCGCTTGTTGTGTAGCTTTTTTCTCTTCAAATACGGCACAATTCCAACACGGAGGTAACTTTAGTTTTTCCTTTGTCTTATCACTTACCTTTGCGTTACTAGCAAACACTTTCGTACCTACTTTTTGCTTCACTGGCTCTTCAGACTGACCCTTAGAATTAATTAACTTCAGCCTCTCATGACTCTCCGCTTTTTCTTTAAGCCATTCTTCGAAATCTAGCAGAGTTGGTTGATGCCTTCGGCATTTTACGGTTTGCATTGACCATGCCTCTTTAATGTGTGGGGGAAGCTTACTCACAGCTTGATTCAGTAAAGTTACAGTTCTCAAATCGTCGTTAAAAGATAGAGTCTTGAATACGGCTACGAGTCCAGAAACTGCAGAAGAAAAGCCAATCACATTTTCCGAGTTAATGTTTTTCAGAGGCGGAAAATTACTCAATTTATCCAGATGAGCCCCTACTACGGCATGCGGCTGCCCGAACTTTCTTTGAAGAGTTGCTAATGCGTCCTTATATAGTACTCCGCTATAGCTATACTCAGCGTTTGCGGATTTTGCTTTATCTAATACGAGAATTTTCAGATAAGTGAACTCTTCATCGTCAGTGAGTATAGCTGAATCGACCGTCGATATGAACTGCTCAAACCAATCATGCCAATTAAGTGGGTTGCCATCGAACTGTGTCGGCTTCCACTCAGGAGGATGATCTTCTCGGCTGTGCATGCGTATATCGACCTACTCTCGTGCCAAAAGTGGACAATCGACGTCTGCTGCACCGTGTGAGTTATCGGGAGTTGGCGCTTGGTAACTCGAAGAACTATTTTGATAATCAGGAATGAACAGATGATTAGCCAGCGAAAAATTTTCAGGCTGCGCAAAGAACACAGTCTCTCCACTTGTATAAGAAGAAATTTATTCGGAGGACTAATTGGAGTTACTGCTGTAGAACTGCTGTAAAAACAGTTGTAGAAGGAACGTAGTGTTGTTGAGCTGACATTAAGGGGGTAATGAAAGCTGATCTCCACAAATTACTATAAAGATTATAGTGCTCACTTGAAAAGTTATAGCTAATAACGGAACACTTATATTTTGTTGGGAGGTAATTACAGGTGCCTGGTAACCAGCTACTACTGATCATGTAGTTTGTTGATTTGAAGAAACCTAGTTAACTGCTGTTGATGCAGGAGCGAACGGTGCAAAACCAGAGGGAAATTTTGCAGATATTGTTGGAGCAGCAAAATAGTTTTCAGAA